CTCTCATCTTTTTATCTTCCTTCTTTGCTTCATTTTCTTTATTTTTTAAGAATAATAATTCTTAATGGAGATGAGTAGTTTTTTTGTTAGGATAGAATGAAGATGCAAAGATTTTTATTAAAGTAAAATATCTGAGTTACGCTATGAGACAGAGAGCTCATATTTACAAGAGAAAGATGTGCTCAGTTAGAGAAGCTACCCTCTGTTGAATCTGAAAGATCAATGCTAACATCTATGAGAGAACCTAAGCCTACTTCATGATCCTTCTAACATACATCCAGGACACTTGTGAGGAGGAAGGATGTGGAAGGGGAAAAAGAACAAAAGTCCAAGGAGAGACAAGAAACACATGAAAGAGACCAGAGGGGGAAGGCTGTCCTGGATGCCTCTGCAAGCAAGGCTCTGTGGACGATGTGACATTAATGTGATGGGACATGGGTTGCTTTATTCTCTGGATATGCTGAGTAGTCACTAATAGTAAAATTGCTTTCCTTCTGGACTGTACTTGCAGGCCTTTCCAGATGTTGCATGCATTGTGATGGTGATGATGTGGGAATGGTGGGAAATGTGAAGAATTTCCCACACGAAGAATGGTGGGAAATGGAAATGTGAACACAGAAGAACAAACACACATAGACTCTTTCCCTTATGTGCTCATGAAGAGGCTGTAAGTTAACTTAGAAAATAAAACCCACGCATGATTAAAATGAAAATTAACCCTAGCTCCCAAGTCAACAGATTAGTTTTCTGATCCATCCCTACCCCCAACAAATCTTAGGAGATTGTATCTTAGGAGATTGAAAGAGATGCCAGCTCCCATCTGCTTTCATTATTTTATGATGTATTACAGAAGGATATTTGAGATTTATAAGAATTAGAAATATGAAATATGGCACAGCCAGAATTTTTTTAAGACCCAGGCAATGGCTCTTTGCCCACAGCTCTCCCACCTGCCCCAGGAATGGTGCCCAGTTGCAGCACACTGATTGTGGCTGCTGGGTTTTAATTGGTACCGAACACACAACGCAAATGGCACAGAAGCATCCCCTCTGAGAGCTGAGGTTGTATTCGCTGAATGGAGAGCAGTTTTTAACTCAGTCACTGGCAGGTGGAGGGCTATCTTTGCCCTTAGAGTTTCTCTTTTACCTACTTGGCCAGGATTTTAGAACAGCTAACTTAGTAGACTCAACCCTGGTTGCACATTAGAATCACCCGTTGAGCTGTGGAACTAAACAGGTACTAGTGCTTCCCCCCTAGATCAAATAAGTCACAATTTGGGGAGATGTAGTTCAGGCATCAGCACTTTAAAAGGCACCCAAGGAATCCTAAAGGACAGATAAGGTTAAGACCTTCTGGACTATCTGGGAAATTCTCTCTGTCTCTCTTTCTGTCTCTGTCTCTGTCTCTGTCTCTTTCTTTCTTTTCCTCCCTCCCCCTTCCCTCCTTCCTTCTGTTTCTCTCCCTCTTTTTCTTCCTCTATCTCCCCCCCTCCCTTATTCCCTCCCTCAAATAATAGGTTTTTGTGACAATGACTTTTTCCAAGAACACTCTCATCCTCATTCTAAATAGTGAACAGATCATTTAAACCTGTGGTGTCCTGTTTTCAAGCATTTTTCTAGGCTTATAGGAGACTTGTTTCCAATATATGTGTTTATAAAATGATAGGAAGTACTGTTTGGCTTTACCTGTGGGCCAGCTTGGCTCTGCCCCGTGGGAGAAAGAGAAAATTAGAAAACAAGCAATGAAGCTGAAGAAACTTGGGCAAATGATTTTCCATTTCCCCATCATTCTTACTGGTGCCTGTGCACACACATAGGGCCACTTAGGATACCAAATCCTCCCACTCATTCACTGATGAATTCATTCATTAAATAAATAAATGTGCATATTTTTAGCCCTAACAATATTCCAGGCCCCATGCGAAGTGCTAAATACACACTGATGAATAAGAAAATAGTTCTGCTTTTAAGTGAGTGAAACTTAAATATTTCATTGTAACACAAGGTTTCAAATTTTTTAATGGAAATATTTGAGCAGAGTCTTAAAGATTAAGTAGGAATTAACAGGGCAAAAGAGGGAAAGAGTCATTCTAGGTAGAGGGGAAGACAACCCAAGGCTCAGAGATGAGAAATGGCAGGAGCCCTGCAGGAATCTCTAAGGAGCTCGGTAGGCTTGAGTTTCGCCTGCATGTGGAGGACTGGCTGTCGGCTTAACATTGTTAGGCCTGTCCTGCCTCACTCCTGCCCCTGAGGGCATCTGAGGCTTTGACTCCAGATTTAGAGCCTTATTTTGGCTAATCCTTTCATCAAAATCTGACTGCACCATAATTTTTTAAATGTTTATTCTGTGTTTCTGTATTTGGTTTAGTTTTCTTCTCTCTCCCCTGCAGGTTGGTGAGTAGGGTTTGGGGGAGGATGGGGACTGACGAGTTGAGTTCCTGTCGGATTCACAGACTGTACAACATGTGTACACACACCCTTCTTAGGGAAGCCTAATGAGGATAAAGGCTTTCACTCTCTACTGATAAAGTTCCCAAGCCTTCCTGGAGTTGGGCCTGGGAATTTGAATTCTTAACAAACATCCCCAAGTAATCCCATGGCACAGTCAGATTGGGAACCACTGCCCTAGTTCCCAGTACTGATCTGAGAAGGTGACCTCCAGAGAATACTAGCCAACACTTACATGGTGGTAGCAAAATGCCAAGCAGTATTCAAAGTGCTTTTCTTTTTTTTTTTTTTTTTTTTTTTTTTTT